CTCCTACAGCAGGTTCTTGGTCTTCCGCCTTCTGCTGGTCCTCCTCCTCCCTTGGAGGGTCCACAGCCTGTCCCGTCGCAGTCACAGCTACAGCCTACCTCCCCTTTGCCTGCTCCTTCTCCCTACGCTGGTCCTACTGGAGGTCTTACTGAGCGTCGTGAGCCTGCGTCTCGCCCTGCGTCGCCTGTCCGTACTGCTCGCGCTAGTGGTCGTGGTTCGCGTCCGCGTCCTCCTCCTGTCCCTGGCACGCACCGGATGTCTCTGCGTCCGTCCACTGCTCCTCTGCGTGCCCCTTTGCCTTCTCCTCCTGAGTCCTCCCTTCCTGCTCTTCCCGACCCGGAGTCGGACTCTCTTCGTGCTGCCAGTCCTACTGTCACGCGTCTCCTTGCTACTGTCGTCACTGACCCTTCTTTCGAGTCTACTGCTGCGTCTGCCCTAGTTGCTGAGCTCGTCGACTTTGCTGCTCGCTGTCGCCTAGACTACGCTGCTAGTCTTGTTGCTGAGTCTGAGTATGTCTGTCCTCCGTCCGTCGGGGGTGAGTGTGCCCTTGGCACGGACGTCCTTGAGGACAGGCAGGAGGAGTTCCAGTGTCTGGCAGCTGCTTCACCTCATCTCGTGTCCGTACTGCTTACCCCTGAGGGAGACCCGGATGCACTTGACATCCCGACTCCGCGCTCTTACGCGGAGGCGATAGAGGGTCCCTACTCCTCTCAGTGGCAGGCAGCTATGGACGGAGAGATGGCTTCCTGGAAGTCCACAGGCACCTACGTTGACGCTGTTCCCCCTCCTGGGGCGAACATCGTCAGTGGCATGTGGATTTTCAGGGTGAAGCGGCCGCCGGGTTCTCCGCCTGTCTTCAAGGCGCGTTACGTGGCTCGTGGCTTCAGTCAGCGGCAGGGAGTTGACTACTTTCAGACCTTCTCTCCCACCCCGAAGATGACCACTCTTCGGGTACTGCTGCACGTAGCTGCTCACCGTGACTACGAGCTACACTCTCTTGACTTCAGCACTGCTTTCTTGCAGGGCAGCCTGCACGAGGAGATCTGGCTGCGTCGCCCACCTGGTTTCACTGGGTCTTTTCCTCCTGGCACCCAGTGGAGCCTACGGCGGCCAGTCTACGGTCTCCGCCAGGCACCGCGTGAGTGGCACGACACACTGAGGACTACACTTGCGGCTCTTGGGTTTGCTCCCTCTACTGCCGACCCGTCGCTGTTTCTGCGCACCGACACTTCTTTGCCGCCGTTCTACATCCTCGTGTACGTCGACGACTTGGTCTTTGCCACAGCTGACACTGCTGGACTCGCCCACGTGAAGTCCGAGCTGCAGAAGAGACACACGTGCACTGACCTGGGTGAACTGCGCAGCTACCTTGGCTTGCAGATCACTCGGGACAGAGCACGCCGCACCATTACCCTGACTCAGTCACACATGGTGCAGCAGGTCCTTCAGCGCTTCGGCTTCACGTACTCCTCGCCTCAGGCCACTCCTCTGCCTACTCGCCACTCGCTCTCAGCTCTGCCTTCGGATGAGTCCGTAGAGTCGAGTGGCCCGTACCCAGAGCTTGTTGGCTGCCTCATGTACCTGATGACCTGCACACGACCTGACCTTGCATACCCTCTTAGCATTCTCGCACGCTATGTTGCTCCTGGGAGACACAGACCGGAGCACATGGCTGCAGCGAAGAGGGTGTTGCGCTACTTGTGCAGTACATCGGGCATGGGGCTTGTGCTTGGAGGGCAGAGTCCAGTGGTCCTTACTGGGCACGCAGACGCTTCTTGGGCTGACGACCAGGCTACGCAGCGGTCGTCACAGGGTTACACCTTCAGCCTTGGTTCCGGCTCTGTTTCGTGGCGGGCTACTCGCTCGTCTTCTGTTCTCGGCTCCAGTTGTGAGGCTGAGATCTACGCTGGGGCCATGGCTGCCCAGGAGCTTCGCTGGCTCGCCTACCTGCTGACCGACCTTGGAGAGCCGCCTCGTTCTCCTCCAGTCCTGTACGTAGACAACAAGGCCATGCTGGCCTTGTGTCGAGAGCAGAGACTGGAGCACAGAACTAAGCACATTGCTCTTCGCTACTTCCTTGCTCGTGAGCTACAGCAGCGTGGTCAGTTGCGGCTTGCGTACGTGGCCTCTGAGGCCAACACTGCTGATGTCTTCACCAAGGCACTTCCGCCTTATGATCATCAGCGCTTCTGCACTCAGCTGGGTCTTGTCCCTGTCTTGCCTCACTTGCTCAACCCTTGAACTTGCTTGTACTGTTACATATATATATACCTGCTCTTGCTTGTCTAGCCTTATCTATATATATATGTACTCCTGCATGTGAACTGGCCTTCTGGCCTTGAACTTGTGCTCAGAATGTGTGGTGACGTTGTGATCCACCCTGAGCTTGCCTTGCTTTGCTTTGCTTGACTGGTCTTGTGACCCCTTGTTCTCCCCCACTTTGCCTATGGGGGTGTGTCGGAACGTTATAGCTTATACTTTTGTGTAGGCTGTAGTGGGGTATCCCATAGGGGGTACAACCCAATTAGGGTTAGTACTTGTACCCACTTCATTCATAGTTCATCCACTCTTGTTTCTTCTCAGGAGCAACTGTCAGAATGTTATAATTGTCTAGCCTGCAGTGGGGTACTCTATAGCGAGTACAACCCAATTAGGGTTTCCAATATATATCTCAACTGCTGCTAGTGCAAACAGTCATATTCTCATTTCTATTTCTGTCTGCTAGTTTTGACAGCAACTATCCGCTCTCCTGGCCGGCTAGTGCGCTGCTCCTGTCACCACGGCATCCTTCCCTATCCCCCCCCCGAGGAGTAATACACAATAAAAAACGGGGAAGCTAGGAAAGTAGCTATGATACCAAGTGTTATGAGTTTTACTAGACAGAGTGCGCGGAAGACTTCTATAAAGAGAATGAATTACAGAATGATCAAGAATGGTAAAGGAGCACGCATTTATAGGGTCGAAGCCGTGCTAGGCGAGGACCTCGGGACGTGGATGGATTGGATGTGTCGCGATTGGTGCGGGGCGACTCGGTAGTGGTTCGGTCCGAAATGTAGGCCGAGCCACCTGACGCGAAGTGCTCGGGCTGTCCTCGCTAGGAGCAGCCTCTACAGTAATGAATTGTGTATTCATTACACCGTACCCTTTTATTTGGATAGGTGTAGCAGCACAGTTAGAAGGCACCATAAAATTGTGAATCCAAAGAAAATGCAATTTCAGGGGAAGGCCCTCTGGGAAGAGCACTGAAAATTCCAATGTAACAAACATTGAAACAACTGATGAATGGTGAAGGCTCAGGTACGATGTATTAAGAAGCCTAACAACTGTTTGTTTAGAAGTATGAAGTATGCTACACTATGTTTGACATCTCCCAATTGTTGGGCACAGGCGAAGACACCACCTACCACACTTACGACTGTCATTTACGCAGCAAATCGCTTGATTGCAAAGCATCTAATAGGGAGGATGCCATTAGGAGACGAGGACACGTGGGACGGCGACCGACCATCGCCAATCAGTCGCCTGCCAGCGCGTTCCCCTCGTCGTGGGTTACCACGCCCTCGCGCAACCCTCTTCGTTCTCTTCGCCATCCTCGTCGCGGGATGTCTCACCGCCATCCAAATTAGTGGGTCGCGATTTTCCCGTTCGCGCCGTTCACGCCATTGGTGCACATCATACGTTTAGCATTTCCCCATCGGTGCGCCTTCTAGGTGTCGTCCCGCCGCGTTTTGGACATGCTCATCATAAACGATAAGTCTCTCATCCTATCACATGTGGCTCTCAGTACCAACCCGATACAGTCACATGAACGCTGCACCCTGGTCGAATAACATGAGTCCTTCGCTACCCCCAACCCCCCCCCCCTTTCGTTACAGTCACATGGGCGTTTCGCCCAGGCAGAGGCGTGGATGCGGAGCTGAGCCACGTCAGCAGCATGCACAGCCCCGGTGCCGTGGCTACTGCCATAGCTGCCGCTGCTGAGGCTCGGGAACATGCTGCCAGTGCTGCTGCTCAGGCTCGGAGAAACTCTACTGCTGCTGCCACTGCTGCTACTGCTGGTTTTGCTGCTACCCATGCTTCTAATGCCTCTGCTACTGCTGCTGTTAGTGATGGTGCTAGTGCTGCTATTACGACGGTTGGTGCAGCTGGTGACACTAACGAGAGTGAATATGGTGAGGGGGCAATCGAACAAGCAGAGGAGATTACCACTCTTAACCGAGACATTACCAATCCTGACCTGCAAATACTCCATCTCAACTACGGTCTACACCACAAAACATCTCTTCTCTCCCTTAACTGCACCGGAAAACCCTGCCCGGACTTCTCGGGCAGCTGCGGAAAACGTTTTCCCAACATCTCAGCCTGTTGGAACGCGGGATTGGTGGATGAGGGATATGTCAAGCCGCCCACTTCGATAAACTGCCCGAAAATAAGCAACGTGAAGGACTTGAAACCAGAGGGAAGGGACACTAGCTGCAGCCATTACACGGACTTTCACTGGCACGACCAGGCGGCTTATCAGATAATCTCATTATCACAATGTCTCATCTAGCCGTTTCTGTCTTAATAAGCCAGAGGAGAGGGATACCAGTTGCAGTCATTACACGGACTTTCATTGACACAACCAGGCGGCCTATCAGGTAATATCCCTTTTTTTGTTTCCTTGAACGAAAGAGGGGAGGGATGTGAGCTGCAGCCATTCCACAGACTTCCATTGGCATAACCAGGCGGCATATGAGGTAAATTTATATATGTGTGGTATCACTGTATGTATTTGGGTATCAGAGAGGGAAGGGATATGAGCTGCAGCCATTACACAGACTTTCACTGGCATGACCAGGTGGCTTATTAGGTAAATAGATATAACCCAATATGCCACGGACTTTCATTGGCAATGTGCTCAATCTCTTTCTTCCCTTTCCCTCTCCCTTTCTCATGTTTCCTTCCCTCCACTCCAACCGTGCAGGTGTTTCGTCTGAACAATGTGTACATGAATGACGATGGCAATGTGTTCAATGCGACCACTCTCTTCAACTCCCCCTTTTGTCCTCCTTCGCCCCCCCTCTCGTTTTTCCTCCCCATCACTTCAGGTATTTCGCCTGAACAATGTGTATGTGAACGACGATGGCAATGTGTTCAATGCCACCACCCTCTTTAACAAGGGTGACTGCAACGGGCACCTCAATGTGAGCTGTGTACATGCTTAAACGTATACCTGCAGAACTGTATATATGTTTAGATGTACAAATGCATATGTGTTCAATGCCACGGCGACTGCAACGGGCACCTCAATGTGAGCTGTGCGATTGTTTTACTGTGTAACTGTAGAACTGTGTAACTGTGTAACTATGTAACTGTACAATCGTACAGCTGTCCAATGGGTTGTTGCGCTCCGCTTCACCACACTTGGCATTCAACAGAAGCACACTCCAATCAGTTTCAAAGAGTGACAACCCGCCTTCCATCACAAGTTCACCTCACTTCCATCACAAGTTCACCTCACTTCCATCGCAAGTTCACCTCACTTCCATCACAAGTTCACCTCACTTCCATCACAAGTTCACCTCACTTCCATCACAAGTTCACCTCACTTCCATCACAAGTTCACCTCACTTCCATCACAAGGTCATCTCACTTTCCACCAACCCCCTGTCCCAGTTCTCCTTCAAGGCAGGGCACACACAAGTGCCAGGCAGACGCCTTCTATCACGGCTTCATAGAGTAGCAACCCTCTTGCTTCCTATCCTTCCCCTTCCCCAGTTCTCCCTCAAGGCGGGGCACACACAAGTGCACCACGCTGACAAAGCAGTCTCCCTGGTCTACTGCCAGGCAGACGCCTTCTATCACGGCTTCATAGAGTAGCAACCCTCTTGCTTCCTTCTATCACACCTGTGTGTGCCCCTCCCTCTGGCAGTTCTCCTTCAAGGCAGGGCACACACAGGTGCACCACGTGGACAGAGCAGTCTCCCTCGTGTATCGCCAGGCAGACGCATTCTATCACGGCTTCATAGAGTGGCAACCCGCCTTCTACATCCTCCACAAAGTGCTCGCAGCTCATCCCGACATCCCGCTTCTAGCTCGACCCTCGCAGGTAAAGCTCGGATACCTAGTTTTGAGGCGCCTCAAAACTAGCCCTCCCAGGTAAAGCTGGGATACAAATGTACACCCTGTGCCTCAATTGCAGCCTCTGGAGACTGGATACATAAATGTACACACATTTGGCCTGCATGATTCATCATCCATCCCGCCCGTCCCACTATTTCCCTGAACCCCACTATTCTCATGTTTCCTTATCTCCCCCCACAATCCCCCGCCCCCTAACCCCCACCTTTCCCCATCTCTCCTCCATCCCTCCTGCCTGTGGCGTTTCTATCATTGCACCATTCAACACCTGGTAGGAGTCAGCACCAAGTCGTTCCGCCGCCTAGCCATCCCCGAGGGAACCCTTTTCCACGTGAAGGAGCTTTACCTGCCGCTCTACCAGGGCTGCAGAAACCCCTCTCAAGGGCTAGCCATTCCCAAGGGAACCCTTTTCCACCTTCTCTCCGCCTTCCCCTTCCCCTGTTTCCCCACTCCCTTCATCTCTCCTCCATCCCTCCTGCCAGTGGCGTTTCTATCATCGTACCATTCAGCATCTAGTCGGGGTCAGCACCAAGTCTTTCCGTCGCCTAGCCATTCCCGAGGGAGCCCTTTTCCACGTGAGGGAGCTTTACCTGCCGCTCTACCAGAGCTGCGGAAACCCCTCTCCCGCTATCTGGCGTACCCTTCGTTATAATCACATCCTCCTGCCCGAAGGTTTGCCGTACTTTCATGAGGACAGGTGGCAGCTCAGGAATGTGCCGCATGGCGAAGGTCAGGGGAATTTTTCGGGCAGTTCGGATGATGGTTTGGGTAATTCGAGTGTGGGTGTTCAAGACCCGGGGTATTGGTCGAAGGTTTTTCCGCTGCCCAGGGATTGGATAGTGGTGGTGGTGCAGCGGCTTGGGGCCAAGGGCAGGACAATGAAGCAGTTCGGGCAGCTGCTGGGGGCAGTTCAGAAACTTTTTGGGATGGGCAGGGTCCACGTTTTCAACGGCACACAGAGCGTTCATGAGAGTAAGTTGAAGTTCTTGCAGTGTATATCTTTAAATGAAGGCCTGTTCCTACATTCAAGTTTTTCTTTTTCCTGTTTCTGCGCTTTGCCTTGCGTTTGCTCTTTGTGATGCATCAGCGTTCAGCCTCACCCCCTTACTTCCCCCATCCCCTTCTCCATATGATTCTCTCTTTGTCTTCCTCATTCTGTCTTGTTCTCCTGCCAGCTCGGGACCTATTCAGCAAGGCGCGTCTTCTAGTGGCAGGGCATGGTGCAGGGATGTCCCATATGATATTTATGCCACCTAACGGTACAGTACTGGAGATTCGTCCCGACAACTATGATAACGCATGTTTTCATCATCTTTCACATGCTTGCGATCTGAATTATTATCTAGTTTTTGGCAAGGGTGCTCGGCTCAAGCCCTTGACATTTGATAAGCAGAAGGTTATCAAGGTTTTGAGACGAATAAAGGAGGATTTCGGTAATCCTCGCTGTTGGTAACTTCAAGTATACATGTTTTAAGTAGAGTTATACTGTAAGCTCAATGTGTGTTTACAGGTAAGAATGCTTCAAGCCTTTCAAAGATGGTGGAATGGACGACCCTTTCCCTATGACATTGCATGATTGGTCTGGTACGCATCAAATTCCCCCAAAGGCATCTCAGTAGTCCGGCAAGAGATTTTGCATTGTACTGCAAGCATACATGTATGCAGAGATTCTCCTCCCCTCTGCACTCCACACATGAGAGTTGTTCAAGTTCTTGGCAGACTTAAAGGTCAAATTGGTTGTTGTATGTCTGCTAACTTTGGCTGTTCACAGATCAATGGCTTCCTGACTATTTCGTCATTGACAGTGCAAACTTTCTGCTTACCGTGATCTGGGGGTGATCCGGGGGTCCAAATTTTTTCCTCACTTGACTATGCATCAGTGTGAGGAGGGTGGTTAAGTGGCATGCACAGCAGCATTATTGTTGTTGGCTGCTCACTTTACCTACCTCATACCAGTGCCTTAAAGACTGGAAAAGTGGCGCACCCATTTCAATACATTTCCATTTCTAACAACACATGTACACGATATGAACCAAACTCGTTTCAGGGCTTGAGCCTGAAATCAAGGTGTCTGTTTACCTGGCTGGAACATCGATCCAGCCACTGGCGAAGGCAATCCCAAGAATAATGAAGGGTGTGAGGAGCCCGAAAATCGCAATGTAGGGCAGCACTGTACTCATGGGGCCCTTTCCTTCTCTCTCCGACTCACTCTGCCAATACCTGAGGGGGAGGAACGAAAACACAGAGCATCAGTGAGCGTTAGTATTGTGCATCATGTGCGGTTTGCTAGATTGTTCTGTTCGTGTAATCGGCACCTGGGAAAACAGCATGTGGTTGACCGAAATACTGTATCGTGGCATGTTCTCAGCAGTTGGTATTACTGTGAAAAAAAGGGAAAACTTACTCTTCAGGCTCCTCCGCTTGGGTGATAAATTTCTTCTTCTCAGTCTTGTTGTCACCTGAGGGACGGATTTAAATGGTCATGGAAGGCAATACATTCAGCAGGCGAAGGGCTGCTAGTCGAGAATTGTGCGAGCGAGAACCCGGGTATTGAGCTGAAGAAGAAAGCAGCACCCAAACATGCCATCGCCAGATTATGAGAACTGGCTAGTGAGTTACGACATACCTCCGCCGAGCATTGCGTTAATCTGGGTGGGTCTTCTCAAAGCGAATCGGCATTGGAGGTCAACGGACGGAAGCCGCCGTGCCACGAGGGAAGTGGATGAGCTGAGTGACCTTCTCTCCGAGGGTTGACTCTTGAGGACAGCGGAGACTGGGGCGGAAATACTGGCGACAGTTGCAGACGCCATGGCAGTCTAGGGAAGTATGAGCTAGAGGAAGAACCTAACTCTGGTCTGGAGTCCGCACACAGCTCCCACACGCCCGGAACAGAGTCCTGAATTAGTACGCAAAAAAGTACTCTAGTCCAGAAAGGAATCCAGCATAAATGCTTATGGAAATGGTATTACAATGGTACAAACCACCGATGGCACAAACCACCGATGCTTTCAATCCCAGCTTCCCAGATTCCCAGCTCACGTCTGAGGGGGGCTGGGTAAATTTCTGGTGATGCGTCCTGCGGGATGCTGAGCGGGACGTCACCACCAAGTCCAGCAAGGCGACCTGCCGGGCTGTTATCGAGTGACGCGTCAGAATCCCAGATGGTTACTCTCGCTCTCTTTCTTTCCGCCACTCCACGTCACCACCGACCTGATTATGTAGGGTTAGTTGCAGCGTCAGAGCGAGTGCGAGCCGTGTCAGCATTTGGGTGTCGATCGCGAAGCCACACGCAGCTCGTGCGAGCATCGTGGAGCTTCGTGAGCCCCTTCTGTAGTTGCACGAGAGTGCAGCAAATACACACTAGACTCTGTTGTGTAAGTTTCTCTAAGACAAGACTACTCAAGCTTTAGGGCAAATTAGCATAATTTTGTATAATGAAATAATACGCACGTAACGGGGATGCCCAACAAACAAACGTCTCAGTAAGAGACGGAAAAACTTTGAGCACGAAATGTACTCGGCTCACAAACAGCAGGGATTCATGCATTAAAGAGGAGCTCCTCCACGTGTAGCCTTTTCATTTGAACAAGAAAGTTCAACTCCTCCCATAGGAAAGAGATCCGACCAGCTGAGTCAACCAACAAAGTTCCATTCACCCATTGAGGGTTCTTGAAGTTGTAGTCTGCTATTCTCCCTTCCCCTTCCAACCTGCAAGAGAAACAGACCAAGCAAAATGGGAAAGGAAACACATGAGTCACAAGACCAGGAACAATGGGATCAAGACCAGGAAACACAAGAAGCAGCCTCATCAGATGGAGAAAGTGTGCTGATGAAAACAGGGCATGAAAACAAGGAAATGCAAGCATGAACATATACTCACAAGTTAGAGAACTGAAGCTGTTGACCCAAAGCAGGATCCGCGGCTTGCCCTTGCGCCCGGATCAGGCTCCTCGCCTGGCCCACCACTTCATTCCACCGGTCACTATCGTCAGCAGCAGTCTGCACCGAGTCAATCCGAGCCTTGAACGAAACATGCCCTCCGGGAACATTGGGATCTCCAACGATTTTCGTTGCAACAATTTCACCGCTCTCAACCGCGACGTTGAGAATTTCCACCCCATGCTGCCCGAACACACCCGTCCAGAGGCCCTCAAGATCCCGCACCCACGGGGGCAAACGAGATCTGGATAAATCCGTTCCGGAGGTGTCCGTGTCGCATGCTCTCGCTGATTTGTTTGTTTGAATCTCTCCCGCAACAGGCACGCGATGATAGGTGGACTTCGGTACAGGTACCCTTTTCGTCTGCCCGTCGGACCATTCCGACGGTTGCTGGCTCCCTTTTAGCTGCCCGAACACAGTCCCACCACAACCGCGCATATCAACCTTTCCGCTGGAGCTTCCGCCGAATCCCGCGAACGCCCCTCCGCCAGCCCCCATACGTGCGCCAAGGCTTTGGGTCTCATCCGCATAATGAAGCGCGCCAAACGCTCGCCGCTTCAGCGACCACTCCGCGCTGCTGGCGGAAGGCCCAGCCGAGGCGGAACTCCCCGCGGCGGAAGCCATGGCAGAAGCCCCCGCGGAAGAACCGCTGGAAGCAGAAAAAGCCACTTGCGGGGGAGAAAACGCCGTAGTTCCGCTGGTGCTTGCGACGTCGACACTGCAGGTCCGTGACCGTTTCCTTCTAGATTCGTCAGGCGAGGCCTCGTTGCTGTCACACTCGGATCTAGTACGCTTGGATGGAGTCGCCGCCGCGGCTGCCTTCGACGGAGAGCTTCCGGAATCTTGTTTCAACCCGGTCAGGTATTGCAGAGCGCGAAGCTGAAGGCGCTTCGAGCTTTGTTCCTCCTTCCCCGTGGGACTAACGGCTCCCACTCTGAGGAGGTTAGCGCCGCCGATGCTGAGCCCCGATTGGCCGAATCGTTGCTGAAGTCGACTAATTCCACTCGATGCTGTAGCGCGGCTCGCTTCAAGCTGCTGCTGCTGTTGCTGTTGCTGCAAGGTTGAGACGAGGCCACTGCTGCCCGCTGATCGGCTAGAGGGAGGACGCGGGGGTAAAGAAGGCACGGCTGCGCGAGCAGCGGAAGGAGTAACGGATGTAGTAGAAGAGGAAGCTGAAGCAGTCGGGAGCACCGACGAGAGAGGTCCGGCTGTAGCGGCAAATCGGGCCAGACCAGCTCGCTGAAACGTCGCCTTGAGCCTCTCCGCAGCGCCCAGCGACGACAGCGACGATAGTACCGACGACGGCGACGACGGCGACGACGGCCCTGCGACGACCCCTTTCGGCGGCGCCGCCGGTGGCGACGACGACACCCGGTTACCAGCAACCTTGGCGAAAGGCGATGCGGCGAAGCTCGCGGGGGAGCGGGACGACGGCGGGAGGAGCGTCTGCAGGTGGAATTTGGCGCGCGCGGGGGACTCCCAGACGAGCACGCCGGGGAGCTCGAGCGGAAACTCGTCGTCCGCGCCCCTCCCCGTGACCAGGCTGAGCTGCGTCGTGCCGTCGGGGAAGGCGGAGATGGTGAAGAGGCGCGCGGAGATGAGATTGCCGTCTGCGGGGGGGAAGGGGGATCGGGGGGAGAGGGGGAGTGGGGGAGGAAGACGAGAGAAACGGGGATATTGGAAGATTAACACATGGTTCCGGAAATAGGGTGTTCGCGGGAAGGCAGGAGGGTAGAGGAAAGGAGGAGAGGGGGGTAAGGGTGGGGAAGGGAGGGATCTAGGAGCCGAATCGCGTTTAGAGGCTCGAGAAGCTGATAGCAGCAAACTTACCAAGCCAATCGGGGATGATTCGATAAGCGACAACCGCCATGCGCTCCCATGTGACGTATAGCAGCCCGCCCCGGGGAGCGAGATCTTCCGCGGCCCACACCCCCACCAGAGGACTCAAGGTGTGTAACAGGCGAAACAGGCATTTCGCCGAGTTCGCATGCACGAGCCACTCGCTGAGCGCCAGCTGGCCCTCCCACTTCCGGCAGAGAGTCAGCCACGTGTTGGGCTGGTCGATGAGCCCGTGCAGGGTGCGACACGTCAGCGAGGCGGCGATGAGATCTTTGGGTTTCAAGCGGTGGAGAATGGTGCAGATGGTGTCGAGGGGTAAATCCAAGAGCCCAGTGCCGCTGATGGGGGTGCTGCTAGTAGCAGCAGCAGAACAAGACGCAGCGCCGCCGTGCTGGTGAGTAGCAGCAGCTTTAGGGAAAGCTGGAATCGTCATGGTTGTGTGCTCCAATCTCCAGACAAAGCCGCCTCAATTCCTCTATAACTCAACAACTAATGAACTCTTCAGTGCTTCTTGCTGACAGCTACTACAGAATCGGAACTTGAGTGGCTATGACGGATGGAATTGAGATAATATATCCTAGGTCTCTCCCCTCGGAGAGAGAGAGATGGAGAGTGATAGCGACTGAGAAAGGAAAAGGGGACTTCTAGAAAGGGTAAAAGCTGCTGAGGTTTAGGGATGTAATGAACAGGCCCAGAAATATCTTTAAGGGTCAATCGCGGAGAACCAGGAGGTACGCGAGTCCGGCTTCTACTGCTATTGCGCTTTGCGCACTTGGAGCTTAGCGCGGGTCTAGGAAGTGTTGCGTACGACTGCGCTTAGAAACCGCTAACTAACGACGAGATAACCGGCCAGGGCGGCCGACTGGAAGCAGGAATCGAGTCGACGGACCAAAGCTTCGGTCCAAGTGGCGCTGCTGGTTCTGGCTGGCAATTAATAACGACCGCTCAAATATCTTATAGGTCTATGATCACACATGTCGACCACATGCGTTTCGCGTAAGTTGGTGCACTAGTAAGGCTGAAAAGAACGGATTTGGCATCAAATAATGTGCTCCGTTCGTTCGCGACCCAGCAGTGCCGACAGCTGGACGAGTTGCTCGACATGCCTTCGCCACGCGTGTGGGCGACGGCGTGCGATATCTCTCGAGATTCGCGCGATGCAGGGATGACACAACGCGTCGACGACATGACGCCGATCGAATGTACGGGACCTGAACTCCTGGGGCGAGTGGTATTCTAAGCTGTAGGAGTATCCAAGAGGCTGAGCGGCTTGGGCTGTGAGCTGGGGGTCCTATCCTGGGGGTCCAGCGAAGCGGCACTGCATGAAACAACACACACAAGACATGAAAGGAGAGGAAGGGAGGAATTGACGAGGCGAAACGCTTGAGGGGACTCTTTCTGACAAGAACGAGCAGGGGGGGTCAGGTCAGGGGGGTGGTGGTGAAATGAGGACTCTGACTGCGGGGGGTGTGGCGGGGGTAGGTTAGGAAATATTGTGAGGCACTGTACAGTGTTGAACTGTTCTGTTCTGTAGATCCAAGGGACGTGCGACGCGAATCGTGAATGGTGGTGATCAGTGAAAAGGGAGCTGGCCGCAATTTAGAGCCAGAGGGAGGGAGGTAACCCTTGGTTGCCCAGGCCATCCAACCTTTGTCTCCCTTCCTTCTGGAAAGGAGTATAGTGCTGAAGTACAGTGCACGTACTTGGCGCAAAACTAGTTCAGGAAAAAAAATACTTTGAAGTGGAGAAAAGCGTCGGTTGGAAGGTTTTTCTGCAAGTTTTTCAAAGCTGCCCGAGGCAAGCCCGAACATTCATGGCCAAGTACAGCAGCAAGAGCTAGCAGTAGCTGCTTGCTGTTCCTGCTGCGCTCCAAAAGACTCAGGGGATTCCACTCAACGCACTTCTTCCCCGACCCACTCTTTTCCCCGTGAGAGGAGCCACAGAGCAACACGGCGAAGTGCAAAACATCGTGCTGGGCGAACATGCGCGAAAACGCGTTGAGAGCACCGCGAAAGCTGAATGTGGATGCATGAAGGCAGAGGACAACTCATTCGCCTCGCAGATCCACTTCCGCGTTCGTTGCTGCGTTACAGCGCATCACTACACCTGCTTCCATGATGAGTCAGGACCCCAGTACAGTTGATGCTCAGCCTATCATAAAACATTTGCTCCTCACAATTAGAAATCTAGTCACTCGCGAACGTTTTGCCCGTGAGTGAATAAGGCGTTCGACTAAGGCGTTCGACATGAACAACGGCGGTTGCCCGTCATCAGATAAGTTAACCTGGTTACGAAATTAAGACCCTTGACTCGATTCACGTTGCAATTTCTTATTACTGTCACATTTTTGCTCGTGACGACAAGGGCGAATGTGGCGAAACGCCCCTAATACGTTTCACGCACATGCCGCCCGCCTACCTGGTGTTCTTGAAATGGGCATCGACTGCACTTGTTGAATCTAGTCGTTGTTCAATCAGCCGTCCCCCTCCATCCCAAGATGCCCCGCCCGTCCCGTTGTCCCTGGCAACAAAGGGTGATGTGAACAATATATTCTTATCATGACACGTTCGCACGCGCAGGTCAACTTCCCAATCAGCTGACCAGAAATGTTTACAGTACTGGCTCACAGCAACTAGATTCGAGTCGCTCTGAACGAAGATAAGCTCTCGCGCAACATCCATCAAATGGATTCGGCCTTCACAGGTTCACCCTCCCTCGGGTTCATCTCCCTTCAAAAACAGGGCAGCATCCGTGCATTTCATTCACCGTTCATTCCAAATCTTCCAGATGGCGTGCGCTGGTTAGCTAAATTGGCAACCTCACGATTGTTACAGCCACGTCGACGAGTCAACCCGTAGAAAGCGATAAATCCCCAGAAGAAGGTGGACCTGAATACAGCATCCAAACAAAGCCCCTTTATGCTAATGAGTGCGCTTCATTCTATTATAACAAACATTATGCATAGCATACTTTTCAACAAAAAAGTTTTCACAATGGTAATTGAAGAATTCTGCCCATGATGTTGGATAAACACGCTGTAGTTTAAGATTGAACTGGTAGACAGCGATTATTTTCGTCCAAACATGGTACAATTACTAAGTGCCCATGCGATGTTGCCAAGGTGTGTATACGAAAACACGTGGATGCTGTTGGGCTGAGAACCAACATTATGCTTTATCGTTTTCAACCTGATTGAACGCCTGATTTCCTTAAGGGCGCACACCAGGTGGTGTTATGGTTGAGGGAGTGTAGCATTCCATGTAATCGTTACTAATCAGGCATGCACTTTTTTCACATGGATGGCGGAAAGCCATGATACCAGTACTTGCATCTTGACAAACAAAAGCCAATCATGATCACGTTGCCTGCGAAAGTCATGAATCATGATCCGTCTGTATTGTATCATGCACAATACCGAGCTGCTAACGATTAAACGATCAAGATAACCACTGGACTCGGGCGCTTGAGATGTTTCTAGCTCTGGCGGTGCACAACACAACACCTGCCAATCCACTTTCATGCATCAACATTTAATCGTGCGAGAATGCACTATCCACAATGCACACGATTTGATAACAGCATTGTGTGCCCGATGGGGAAAGGAAGCCAATGTTACGCCTAAGAATTAAACCTTACCTGCATCACTCCTCCCACTCGTCATTGTTTGAAGCTTTCCTGTTCCCCTCACCCACTTTGTCCCCCTCCCCCACTTTATCCGCCTCATCGTTCCAGAGCTCCTCGGGCTCTAGAAAGGGCCGGCTGTCTCCGACCCAGTAGCCATAGTAGTCCAGTATCCGAACCTGCGCGTGTATGTGAAGGCACGGCATGACAAACAATTGGAAACACAGACAAGCAACTGTGCCCCCCAGTTCCAGAGCTCCTCGGGTTCTAAAAAGGGCCGGCCCTTTCCGACCCAATAGCAATTAGTCAAGTATGCGCACCTGCATGTGCATGTGCTTGTGAAGACAGGAAAAAGGCACAGTGTGATGAAACAATGTGTTTTTTGAGTCGACTAAAATAACACTCCGATCCTATAGCTGTGGTAGTCCAAAATGTGCACCCGTGAGTGCATGTGTGGGCAGAAAAAAGGCAGAGTATGAAGGAACAATGGAAAAGTCACACACCACTGCTCTCTAACAAGTATGCGAACCTGCGCGTGCATGTACGGGCAGGAAAAAACGACTGGAGGTGTTGGCAAGTTGAATAAAGTTAAAAACGAGCAGGCTTAAAACGGAGCCATCTCCTCACCTGGGGTGACGTTTTGACCTCACCTGGGGTTTTATAAGAGAGAGTGCTTGGAAGTCTATTGGGGTTATGTGCTGGTCGAACAAGCCAGTACTCACATCGATGCGCCATGGGTTGCTGCTGTTAGAGGAGCACATCCAATCCCCTTCTAGGCCGGAACCTTACCACCACACCTAGGGTGACGTTATGAACCTCACCAGGAGTTTTACAAAGGAGAGTGCGTGAAAGTCCATTGGAGGTATGTGCCAGTTGAACAAGCCGATGTTCTCCTTGATGTGCCATGGGTTGCTGCTCTTAGGGAGGGCAGACATCCGCCTCAAATGAAAACTTACCACCTCATCTGGAATTTTCACCTCACATGGGGTTCATTGAGTGTATGTGCCAGTCGAACAGACCAATATCCTCTTGGGTTATCACGAGGAGGCCTAAAACGGATCACACAACCTCACCTGGGGTTCGATGAGGGAGAGTGGGAGGAAGTTCATTGGAGGTATGCGCCAGTCGAACAGCCCAATGTTCTCCTTGATGTGCCACGGGTTGCTGCTCTTAGGGAGAACACTTGGTGCCATGGGTTCCCTTTTAAATATAATCCAACTCTCACCTGGGGTTCGATGAGAGAGAGTGCGTGGAAGTCCATTGGGGGTATGTGCCAGTCGAACAAGCCGATGTTCTCCTTGATGTGCCATGGGTTGCTGCTCTTAGGGAGGGCAGACATCCGCCTCAAATGAAAACTTACCACCTCATCAGGATTTTTCACCTCACATGGGGTTCATTGAGTGTATGTGCCAATCGAACAGACCAATATACTCTTGGGTTATCACGTGGAGGCCTAAAACGGATCACACAACCTCACCTGGGGTTCGATGAGGGAGAGTGCGTGGAAGTTCATTGGAGGTATGCGCCAGTCGAACAGCCCAATGTTCTCCTTGATGTGCCACGGGTTGCTGCTCTTAGGGAGAACACTTGGTGCCATGGGTTCCCTTTAGAAATATAATCCAACTCTCACCTGGGGTTCGATGAAGGAGAGTGCGTGGAAGTCCATTGGGGGTATGTGCCAGTCGAACAGCCCAATGTTCTCCTTGATGTGCCACGGGTTGCTGCTCTTAGGAAGCACGCTCATACCCCTCTGTATGCCCCACCGCAGAGCCACTTGCGCTGGAGATTGGTGCAAATTCTTAGCCACCTGAT